TATATATATATATACATATATATATATATATATATATACATATATATTCCTGTGTGCCTACATAATTTAAAACAAATCTTTAAAGATGGAAAGATAAAAGATCACAAAAATAAACTTGTCATAAATTTATCACAAAGGATCAAGGACCAAGATTAATGGCAATAACTTGGTTACCATAGGAATATTGTTACGTCAGCATCAAATGGGTACTGCAGCCAAACAGGAGTGGTTGATTGATTGATCAACTGACCACGTATTATATTATATAAACATCTGGCAAGGACTACAATGCCTTAATAAAAGCTTTCTATTTCATGGTAAATGTCAATTTTGTTCAATTTTTTTTTTTTTTTTTAACTGGTGAGAGATTGTCAGTTAACCAACTATGAATTATTCTTACAGATTGTAGATCTGCATTTAATTTGAAATTGGAGTGGAGTTGACTAGCTTGCCTTCCAATCCCAGGGTCCTTGGTTCAAATCCACTCCCTAAGCCTCATAATGAGTCTTTATGTAGAGCATCTTGTGTTTAAGTTGAAGGGATGTGCCACTTTTAATAGTGATTAAGTTCACCACTTCGCATATTATTGGCCTTCAGCCTAAACCAAAAAAAAAAAAAACAAGAAGAAACAAATTATATAACATAAAATTTTGTTGTTATTGTCTTAATGTGGTAAGAGGTGATTTTTAATGTGTGTGCTCGGCAACTGCGTATGTTTAATGGTGATAAACATATTCTCAAAAATAGGAAAACTTGTCTAAGCAATTCTAGTTCAAGTTAACTCAAAATAGACTGTAAATAAAAAAAGACATCCTTCTAAGAATTTTCTTTTTACGTTCAAAGTACTGTGCAGAGGCTGACTAATGACTACATCTTGAGGCTACCAGTAGGAATTTACATGCATTAAATTTGTATTCATTTTCTCCTTAATATAGTAAGGTGTTTGTGTTTAGTTGCTGTTTTATAATGTAGAATCACAAAATCAATCATTGATGAAATTAAAAAAAAAAAAAAAAAAAAAAAATTGGGATGTTTAGCGAATTTCATGCCAAACTGCACGTAGTATAAAAGTCAGCTTACTGTATAATGGGCCGTCCGTATACCCATAGGATTCTCTGTCCATTATTGTTATTGGTGGTTGAAAGTATGATGCTATATCAAAAACACTTTTCAAAAAAGTTTCATGTTACAATCACGGCTAACATCTATTTGGTCTTGTTATTACGTCGTTTCTGTCCAAATAAGTTTTTAGAATTAAAAGTGGAACTAAAGCTGATGAAGGAAAAACAAAATTGGATTCTATAAATCCTTCATTCACTCATTTACTTATTTATTCCCTCATTCATCCAGTACTTCATCCATTAAAGCAATCCTTCATTCATTCATTCATTTCCCTCATATATTCATTTATTTACTAAATCATTCTCTCATTCATTTATCCAATCCCTTTTTTTTCATCCATTTACTTATTAATTCCCTCATTCACCCACTCCCTCATTCATTACACCTTAAGGAAGGAAAGCACGGTCCAAAATGATAGCTTTATACTTTCACAAACATGGTTAAAATAATAAAATAAATACAGTATTTTGCATGAATATTTTTTTTTATTTCCTTCACACCCAATGCACACTTGCCAATAACATGATACAAAGATGAAATGATTCTCTGTACACTTGTCTCAATATTAGGCTTTGTTAGTAGAATTGTTTTTTTTTTAAAACAAAAAAAAAATCATTGAGCAAAGGCAGATTCAAGATGTTTCTGCTGGGGCTGTGAAGCACCGACTGTCGATGGATCAAGTTGGGATGATGGGGTGTATCTTTCCCTGTTTTTTGTATAGGCTCCCGGAAGCTATGAAGTTCTGGCCATATTGATCCCTTAAGCATTGTCCAGATTATCCAGTTTTTTGACAAAAAACTGTTGTATGCCTACGATGTGCCTATATATGGCCATGATGACCATATTTGGGCATGTCACATGTTTTTGTCAAATAAAATATTCTGGACAGTGCTTTATATAAGAAATTTCATGCTTGGTTATAGACTTTTTCATTGTTAGGGGAGCATCCCCTTCACCACTCCTGGACCTGCTGTTGTAGAGGCATTAAGTTATTCTTTGGGTAAATAATGTACTATTAAGTCTGCAATGCAACTGTTTCTTCATCATCGGGTCTTGATCGTAACAATGATTGTACTCTATCCAATATAATTTCATTTGTGCTAATACAGTCCTCGGGTCTATATGGTGCTACAATATACAACGCATTTGAAACAGTTAAATTCTCTCCCTTTTCACCTGTTAGCATAACAGGGATTCGATTCCGTTCCAACCAATCACGTACTGCGTTCTTTCTCTTGACCAGATCTTGTTTTGTATATCTGCCTCCTTTACTTAATTCAAACAAACTGTCCAGCTCATCTTTTCTTGTGCTCTTGTTCTCGTTCAGTACGTTTAGACTTTTCAGAGCGTGTCCCATGATCACATGTACGCACGTTCCTTCACCGAATTCCACAAGCACAATGCTATGGAAGAAAAATATATATAAAAAAAAAACACATTAACATGGAACACTTAAGTGAAAGTAAAACTTTTAAATCCCTCGCTGAAGGAAATTGCAAGCTCGCATTAAAACATTAAAAACGACGAGATGAGACAAGACGAAACAATCCAATACACCTTTCCGCTAAGCACCACCTCCTTGGATATTGTTACTAAGGTTCCCACAAAATGACAGGGAAAAACACCTGCTTTTGTGGGACAACAACTTTGCTTACACACATGTATTCTTGGCCCATTCGGAAAAGGGTCCATTTCTATCTCTCTTTAACCATACGGTATGTCTACCCTACATGTGAACTTTTAAAAGTATGGTGTAAAGGCCACAGATGCTGTTTTGTCAGATTATGTGATTAGTAAGGGGGAAAACTGACCAATAAACTAAATGAATTATAAATTTTAAAAAAAATTGAATTGGAATATGTTGGATATAATGTCACCTACTCTCTCATTTTGTATTTCAGCTTTCATTTGAATTAGATGGATAAGAAAATACAGGTTTCCCTCTAATTAAGGACCTCTCCAACTAAAGACCAATTTTCTGTGGTCCCAAATTAACTGTCTTTTATCTTTATTATTTTAACTAGAAATTGCAAATTCCAAGTAAAGTGCTGCGAAGTAAAACTGCATAAAATGTTCTTTGAACAAAATTATTTATGCGAGTCAAGTGAAAATAATGAATAATAAAAATATAACAAATAATATGAGACCCATTGTCTATATTAGAACAGCGTTGGTACCGTGTACAATAGTGTTTTGCTGCAGTGACATCTCGCTGCTGCTGGCGATGACTCGCTGTCTACAAACGTCGCCTAAAGTAACTGATTTTACCCAGCAGAACGAAAGAAGGAAACTCCACTTTTCAGTTGTCTTAGGCGCAGGTTTTTTGACAAACAATGACCTTTCAGAGGTCAAATTGCTGTCAAGAATATGAATTGGCTGCTTTGCAGCAATTAGAGATCAAAGCTGCTAAAACCCATGGAAATCCCAATTCAAAAGTGGTCTTTAATTGGCAGTAGATTTGTATTTTCAGTTTAAGGATGACATGTTAAATACTGTATACAACAAAGATGCAATTAAAATATTGAATTTTTATTTCCAGATCAAAACACGGTGAAAATGGCCTTTTCTAGTTGGCTTCAGACCCTCTTTAAATATAGTATAATAAAAAAAATACATAAAACCTTAATAATTTATATGATACCCCTTTTGGAAATTGACACTATGAAGAAAATAATTAATTTTCTTCAATCATGTGTGGGGTGGTTTTTTCAAAATGTTTTCTTTTTCTTCATTCTGCTAATTTGTAATTTGTTTCTGTGAGTAGTTGTATAAGATGTTCCTATCCTCTAGTAATAATTAATAATTTAATATTTCAAGGCAATAGACCCAATTGGTCGCCAAAGATGACATCATCAAAATTTGGCCGAGTGGGTATTAAAAGTTGTTTACATCATAAAGTGATACGCTAATGCACTGAGCAGATTCCAAAGTGGTGCCTATTAAATCATCTAAAATGTAATGAAGTTAGCGTAGAAGGTACTTTTTATAACTATGTATACATTTTGAATGATTCATAGATTCATAAGATTAAGGTTTTTCGATTAAAATTTCCATTTCAGACTAAAAATATAAAGAATTTCAAAAAGCCTTCTAGGGGGCCTAGGTCCGTCACTTGCTGGGCTCGCCACATCCAGCGCTGACTAAGTGATCGTTGTTGATATAGAGGTACATTCAGCTTAAATACTGTCACCAAGTCATTTTATTGCAATAAACTTAAATTGCTGAATTGTAGAATAAGATGTTTCTTTTGACTACGATGGCCAATGAGTCAGAAGAACGTAGTTTGTATGTTTGCAGGGCTATCCCCATGTGCATGCGACGAGGCTATGCAAAAATGTTTGTTTATTTCACTCCATTTCAATCTAATGAGTCAATACGTTTATTTAAAAAAAATATATATATTTATCAAGTAAGTCTGAGGAGTTTAAAAACTGTCAAAATCTATGTGAGCGGAGGCTTAGGCCAAAAAAAAATAATTTTTTATGTTGGCACGTTTTGGGAAAATCCAAAAAATAGATAGGTTGGTGTGAAAACTTTTTTTTTAAAACCAGATGATGTGTTTACGCTTAAAAAGTAGAAAATACACAAATAATACAACAATTTTAGATTCGCATCACATACCATGTACCAAAATAGTCTAGGCCTTGGCCCCCTATTCTAGTCCAAGGCAAAAAGAAAAAAAAAACTAAAATACCGACCCTGAATTTCGTAAAATTTGGGTCGGTCGGGCATGGCCAACACAATAATTTTTTTATTTGGCCAAAGTATTGTGTGAAGAAACTTCCACCTAGCAGTTTGTTTTGATGTTATACCCACTATAACGGCTTTAGTTTGGTGACTAATTCGGGCTATTACTTCAATTCTGAAAAAATTTTATACTGTATTTCTATGGCCATAATGGGAGCTGAGTTTCATATTTTTATTGATGAGGCTTTAGAATATGTTTATGTCTACCAGACCCATATTGACTCTGTTTATTGGATTTCTTTGTTACATGCATCTATAAAAGTTTAGAATTTCATTTTTATATTGTACCAATAAAATTTTAGAATTTCATTTTTATATTGTACCAATAAAATTTTAGCATTTCATTTCCATATATTGATTAATTTATTTTAGAGATCGTTTGAACAATACTATATTTTATACATTGTTTAGGGAACTATGTTTAATAGGAACTATAGGCTTAATAAAAAATAACAATAAAATTTTATTTCCTTAGTTACCAAAATGGTTCTACCAACAGCGTCTAGGTTAAGAAGAAAATAAAAATGAAATCATAATTTCTTCTAAGCAAAATGGATCTCCCAAAGCATCTAGGCAGTGGAAAATAGAAGAATGAAAAAAATGCGGGTGTAAAGTAAAGAGTATTAGGTGGCCTTCTTCAGGTACCACTTTGTTTATAAAGAATGCAATGTACTCTAGCATTGTAAACACTATAGTATTTTGGACTGATAAAATGTTGTATTACAGGATCTTAGTTGTGAGAAAAAAAAAACAAAACATTTATTGTATTAGGAAATATCATTGAGGTGGTCGGTGGGATAAAATAAAAGAGATTGATTTTTTTCCCCAAAATTTCAAAATTTCAGTGGGTGCACTAACCAGCAAAAAAAAAAAATCATTATCTGTGGGCGGCAGATTTGAGCAACAATTTATAAATAAATCTGCATTAGCTTTAGGGATGTAATGTATTACAGTATGTAGAGTTACTCTGTAGAATCTTCTACATTTTGTATTCTTATTGTCATCTATAATGTTTTTTTGTTGAAACCAAAATATATTCAAAATCATTAACACCTGTTTTTTAAACAACCATCAAAGTATGAATGTAGAACCAGGGTACAGTACACCACAGTTAGTGCCCATATTGTAAGGTTTTTTTTTGTGTGTTAAAATCAGGATCCGGAGGGAAAACAAATTGATGATATGTTTGTACACAGAGTGTTTGACAAAAAAAACTTGGTACAGTTTATGAAATATAGATTTTTGAATATTTAAAAACTATAAAACCTCCCCCAGTTTTTAAATATTCAAAAAGCGATATCTCATTAACCGTTCCCGATTTCTTCACCCTTTTTGTTTAAAATTAGTTGTACAAATACCCATTTTTTTTTCCTGTGGAGCCTCTCAAAGTCATTAGCCACTTTTTGATTTGAAACAAAACTCAGGGTAAAAAATTAGAGAGATCTAATCCTTTTATTAAAAAATATGCACAAAAATCAATTTTTTTAAATTTTTTAATTAAGATAGATTATATGGCCTAAATGTTTACACAGGGAATGTATTTGGCCATGCAGGCCCCAATTTTTAGTGGCACAGCTCAAGATCATTGTCTCGCCATTATTATAATACTGTACTATACCGAATAATATTATTATTATGGATTGAGAGCTGACCTTGTGAGGTCTGTGGTGTCCCAAATGACCACTCAAGAGAGCAATAAGTCAGTGCATCCATTCATTATCAATTCATTACTTGTACATGGAATCTAATTAATCTCCACTATAATTACATCTGTTACTACAGTAGAGTAATTTCTAATTAGTGTTAATGAGCAAGGATCTAGTCCAAAGAAGTGATAAATTATAATGACCTGTCGGTGAATGCCATCCTATAGTGAGTCGATTTGCATTGAATTTGTATTAACCATGAAACTTGATTGGTATTTCTGGTGGTAAATTAGATAGTACACTGGATGGAAGACATTTTGCTAAAGGGTGTACTACTGTACGTTCTTTAACATGTACAGTACTTGGGCCCTTAATTGTACATGGGACCAACTCATTAAAATGTCTCATCCAAAAGATGGTGCAAAACACTCCTAGAAGGGAAAGTAAACAGAAAAAGACCTATATGTAGACCACGCAAGAAATGGTCTGACAACATAAAAGAATGGACCGGCTTGACATACCAAGAGACTTGCAGCAGGATGTTTAAAGACACTCTTAAAGTCAGACTCCGTAGGGAAAACATTTTTTGATATGTTGTAGAACTTATTTTTCCCAAGACAGAAAAAAGTTGTTTGACGAAAAACTGGGGAACGGTGAACGAGCTACATATTTTTGAATATTTAAAAACTTGGGGAAAAAGGGGCGTAACCACCAATTTTTACACCTTTTACACCTTTTTACAACATTGCAACATTGTAACCAAACTCCTGGCAGGAGACGGTACCTGAACTACAGTAACTACTAAAAGACTGTGCACTAATTCAAACTCGCATTTTAGTCCGCCAGTTGGAACAAAAGTAGAGCAGCTGATACCACTGCGTCAGCCAACGATTTAGTCCGCACTATGTGCAAGTTGTTGCCCAAAGTGACACCAGTCCATTGACTGCCACTGTGTCGTGCAATCATGTTTTTTCTGCCAACGCCAATGCAGCGTGCACCAGGCCTCTGATTGTAATAGTCAAGGAAAGCTTAGCTCTGTTGATAAAATGTCATGACAGTCCAAATGGTGTTTGTTTCTAATAATACAGTATTATCAGAGACCAATTACAAAGAGATGTAAAGGACCCTGGCTAAAGCTTTTTCGGGGCATACTAGTTTTAAAGATGTGTTTGATGTTATTTTTTCTGTTCATAAAGGGGTTCACTTGGCTGATTTGGGGTCCATGGTCTTGGAAAAATTAATGCTGAATAATCTCCAGGGCCCTTTAATGTCTGGGGACCCTGGATCTATTATACTACTCTATAGTGTCTTAGTACAGTTTTGTCCCATCAAATCAATAACCATTTATCTTTTGATAAACCTCTCACCACTGCTGTCTGTCTAATTGCACCAGGTCATGGGGCTTACAAGGGAAGGAGCGTTTGCTTTTGTTATAATTTTTTTTTACAAATACTGTAAATGACATTAAATGATTGCCAATCTTTATATCCTACAGTAAACCATTCAATCTCCCATATGAACCCACCAATGTAATTTAGTTAGATTTATTATTCATAATTTAATCATTATTACAGTACTATTGCTTTAATATGTTATTATTATTTTTACTATAATTATAAACATAGAACACATTCACTCTTGCAGCACGGATGTCTAATCACACCGTTATCAAATTACTATGTTTCGGATGAGCAGTTTGTCGGACAGGATTGAATTAATTAATTTTGATGTACAATGTAGCATATGTAGCTTATAAGTCTCAAAGCACTCGAGGTGTGGACTGGCTAGACTTATTCCAAGAGACCCCCTCCCTGTTAGCAAATTTCTGGAGCCACCACTGTCAAAGAGAATTTAGACCTATTTTAAGCTCCAATTAATATAATGCATAATTATAGAGTACAAATTTAAAAGGAAAAAATAAAATCCCACTACATTAGTTCCCAAAGAGGTCTAGGTGATAAAATCTGATCACTTTCTATGGGACTTAATAACTTGTGAAAACGGCTTGTCTGAAAGATGGTAAGCTAGAAACTTGCATTTCAGCTCTCCAGCTAAAACACAAGGAAAAAGCTTTGAGAGATTCCAAGTTAGAAGCTCAGGGCAGGGAACATTTTTTTTATATGCCTGGAAATTCATTTTTTGTCACTTTAGGGTAGTATTTACAACTAAAAATCTGTAAAGAATCTGCATTTGTTTTCCTTGACAACACACAATTTCAGACCGTCCACATGAATCTTTGCATGCAGACTTGAACTGCACATGTGGCAGCTGGCATATGTGTACATGTTCTTTAATGACATATCTAAAGAATACATGAGACACCGACACTGTAAAGCTTTTTAATTGCACAGATCATACCCCAAAAACCAGCTCAAATTTGCTCGGAAAATCGCTGCACAGCATCGTAACTGCTGCTTAATACATTGGTTATAAAAGATTAGGTCAAAGCATAATTTTCAGCAAATATTTAAATCTGCGTGGAAATCAGCCCTTATTTTCCAAAATGTAGGCGGATTTCCATGCCTAATTTTTGCATGGAGGACATATTCCCCGCACAAGCCTTACTTTACCGTTTGTTGATACCATAACAAATTTGGTTATGGGTGACTGGTATTTACAAAACCAATCCTATTTTAAATAGGCATAGTGTTTAGTACATAGAGAAAATAGAACACCATTGTCTCTATGGTAGTGTTGAGAGGTACATAATTAGTAGTAGCAGGCCTAGTATAATTATATTTTTTAATATACGATAGGACCTAGGAGGATATTATGCAATTGTCAGATCTGGGGGGAGTGGTTGGGGCTGTGGTCTGCTGTGGCAGGCTTAAACCAGGGACCAAAAATCTCAAAATTAGGTGAATGTCTCCACGGTTCAGGGCACACACGGTCTAAGCCATATCTCAGTCTGGTCACTATATCATAGGCCTAGGCTTATTAGGCCTACTCGGTGGTGGTCTGGATTTTTTACGAACAAAAACAGTAAACACAACAACATGCGTAAGAATTTGTTAAATTCGAGCGCAGGCCTAGCTAATCAACTATTTCCTGAGGCTACCCCTAGTCTAGCTACCGCTCGACTACTTCTCTAGGCTAGGGCCTAGCCTAGGCCTCTTCTCTTTATCTAGGGCCTAGGCCTATTAGTACCTAGGCTACTGCTAGTACTACTGGTACACTGGTACTACTACCCGCGTACATCTACCTTTTCGACACCGGATCAACCGTATGTACCCAACCTCGGTAGCGTCTACCATTAATATCAAACAGCTCAATTTCCATATAAACTAGTTCCAAGAACATACATGGCCTAATATCAAGGTCATGTATGGACCTGAGAGATATATTTTCTAAAAAATCCTTAACGGTTTTACTGGTCTCGTGTATGTATGAAGTTTCCATGGAGGCTGACATATTTGTTATGATTATGCCATCTAATTTGTATGAGGGCGCTATGATTAATGACGTCATATACTGCATATTTTTTCCTACAGTATACTCTTTCTTTTTTGTATAATTTACTTTTATTATTATTTTATTCATGCACGTTTTTAGCAGTGAATTGGTAAGAAAAAATATGTAAATAAATCTGATCAATGAGGTGATAAAAATACTGTAAGCTATCGATCTAAGCTAAGTCATCAACATAAAACAACCTCCAGTTTGTATATATCTGTGAAGGTTCATTTTAAATGTGCATTTTAAAAAATCGTCACGTTCAACATTAAGCTTTATTTGTATTTAAGTGTACATCCGGTTTTTTGTCGGTCCTACCATCAACACGACTACACTTTAACAAATACCAAACTTGAGTTAAAATAATACGTATGCTTTTATCGCCGACATTAGATCTTTCAAGGATGTTAGTCCGATTTATTATTAATTATTAAATTCTCTCTCGATAGTTATGTATTTAATGAGATATGAAAAAAATGACTATTATTAATGCATTCTCGTTGAGTACCACTGCCCACTAAAATGTTACAGAATAGGCCTATAGTGCCACAGCCAGCAACGATAAATTTTAAAAATAAATAGATATACGAATCATAGACATTTAATCTTCATACGATTTTGATTGATAAAATAAGAAATTAATTTCCCTTCTTACAGTATTGCCTACGGCGCACATTTGGGTCGCCGAATTGCCCAATATAGTACAGTATAATTCCTTGCGTATGCCTCCTCTCTGACTGACATTAATTTGTAGTTAAATTTAAGAGATTGTAAACTCATGATCGAGAACCAATTTACATTAACTAAATATATATACCTTAACATACAATCACGAAGTAATCTCAACAGGCGCCACGGCGTCATTCTACAACGCACGTGTAGTAATGCGTTGCGTTACACGAAGACTGTGTAATACGTGCAATACGAATGAACGCATGGTACGTTCGGGTTTACACATAACCACGTGGTGCATCGTGCGGTGCAGGCATATCACGTAAATTTCCATCAGTTTCATCAGCCTCGGCCGTTTGCCTAGCCTGCGATAAAAATTCTAGCCAAATTTAGGCCAGGCGACTAACAATGAACTTTTCCCAGAGGGTCAAACAAATTAACAACTGACCAATCAGAACACGAGAAGCCAAGGATACGCGCATGTCCCGCAGACGGTTTACGCTGTTTATGACATTGATATTTAAGGATCGTAGGGGCTGGCCTTAGGAACGTCGACTGAGTTTTTAAAGCCTTAACTCTTTGTTTAAATTTATTAGTCTCTGCCTTGTATTTGTGAATATAAATTGGACCATAATAGGCCTATGCCATAAAAACTCTCCCTAAAATCTACAATCTACAAGGGATTTTTTTTTATTTTTTATTCCGGGACCCCGACCGAATCTCTAATCGGCCCCTTGGTTCGGACCACTCCGTCGGACATATCAGACTTCTTGTTGGCAAATTTCTGGAGCCACCGCTGCCTACATCGTAGTATTGGTTTAAAAATTATAGCGCTTATAGTAACATTGCTAATCACATACAGTAGATCACAGTACGCTAATATTTCAGAAGGATGGTTGCGAACCCAAACGCAATTATTAATTAACTACGTGAGCATCAATCGCCTTCATACCTTTCATGATGATATAAAAAACTTTAAAAATATGAATCAATCAATATTTAATTTTCTTACTTAATATATTGAAGAAATGTAGGCCTATTAGCTTTCTATTAAATGTAATTGAGAACACAATAGGGAGTTTTCGCAAGATTAATACGGAAACGATAACAAATACGGATACGTCATCAAATTTTAAGACAACCTTTTCCCTACATACAGTAGCTTATCTGTTTCAACGTAGGCCATCCGGATCCATGCCTTTTACACGAATCAACGATATTATTCAGCTCGTAGGCCTATATGTATTTCCAAGCCTGTTTTAGGCACAAATGATGATAATGATGATGACGTATTCGTATTCATTATCGATTTTGTAAAGTTGCGAAATTTCCCTATTTTTAACAGCTAGCGGACGTATAAAATACCCTTTCTTTCTTTAGATAGGCTAAACTAGGCTTCTGACTGGTAATAAATTTGAGGATTTTACTGTAGCAAACGGTCTGTAAATTAAAGAAAACTGATTTGTGTTGATCTGTTTTATTTGAAATTTAATATCTTAATTGATATTTTTATATGAAATTGAAGACATACTTATAAACCATTTTTGCTCTTTTGTAATCGACTCAGAACGATCAGAAAGAATACAATGAATTAAAAAGTAAGTTTAGCCGATATCAGTTATATACGTGTATGATGGAAGTATCATTTTCAATGCCTGATATACGGAATGTACTAAACTAAACCTCGTTCTTAGAGTAAGCGAGAACTTAAAATGTGATGCGTCCGATATTTTCTATCATAGAATATGTTAGGCTTGGTTTCCATAAAAATAGCTAAACTCTCGCTGCATTTTAACTGCAATCATTGCACTGAACCACCTGACGCAATTGAGGCTCCTAGATTTGACCGACCAATCAGCGTCACCGAAATTAGTGTGTAACGATTTTATGGAAAACAGATTTTACAAGACATTAAAACATATCAACATTGTTGTTTAACATTATTACTACTATTATTATAAGCACTACATAATTTATATTTTGTCATCGTATATAATATAGGTCATAACTTGATATACTTGATTTGATCAATAATAGGTTTATTTTTAATAACTTATCTCGTATCTTGTTGATTAGTACCGGCAAATGCTCTCTATTTTTGTTTTACGGTGGTATTGTTTTTTTATGTTTATGTTTGCTGCTTTGTTGTATAATACACTCTCCTGTGTTATAAAGTTAGAAAATAACGGGTATAGGATATCATTGATAAAGAAAAATTCGTAATTTCCCCGATAAAGACTTTATCGGGGAAATTACGAATGGACACAGTGGACTTTAAAAGTCCACTGTGTGGACGAAAGCCAGAGCTAATAAGTGATATGGTTAGTCTTTAATGTGCTGAGAATTGTCCATTCTTATATTGTACTATAATAGCAGACTAACACGGCTATACTTTTAATTCATCCAAAGACCTAAGTGGTTATTAATAATTTCAATTTTGTTATTTTTTCTATCGTTATTGCTATTATTATTACGGTATATTATTATTATTAGTTATTATTATTATTATTATTATTATTATTATTATTATTATTATTATTATTATTATTATTATTATTATTATTATATTAATATCATTGTTACGGTACCAGTAAATTTTATTATTATTATTATTATTATTATTATTATTATTATTATTATTATTTTAAATTATTATTATTGTTATTATTATCATTCATATTTTTTATCATTATTACAGTACTATTGCTTTAATATTTTATTATTATTATTATTAATATAATTATAACATAGAACACATTCACTCTTGCTGCACGGATGTCTTATCACGCCGTTATCAAATTACTATGTTGCGGATGAACAGTTGGTAGGACAGGATTGAATAAAATAATTTGAATTCGCCTCACTTGGCTTAGTCGACATTTTATTCAATAAGCATCCTCAGATGTTATGGTTACGCAACTGAACATGTTTTTACTTTCAATCAATTCGATACTGTTTCAGCTGTGTATTCTTTATTATGTAGGCTATCCCTAATTATAATTAATTCATATATGCAATCTGCATTTCTTCTTTCTTATATAAAACAAAGGAAAATGTACTGGTACCATAAAAATAATATTAATATAATAATGATAGTAATAATATTATATTAATGATAATGATAATAGACATATTATGAATAATAATAATAATAATAACATTAATAATAATAATAATAATAATAATAATAATAATAATAATAATAATAATAATAATAATAATGGGGAGAGTTGTTATGGCTTAGTATGGCCCAGATTATGCATTTAGGCCACAATATTAGGGATTGCCAATATTCCCCTTCCCCTGCCCATGCCCCTCCGCCCCCACCCCCGCTGGCGCTGTCACTGAAGAATGAGTACTCTGCCAACACTATCTCATTTACTAAACACTCTGTGGAACTTTTTCTGTTTTTATTCCAACATCGTTCGGCAAATTTTCCAGCAACTTGACTCACGGGATGTAATAATTTCCGCTCGAATTAAGAGGTTTACTCCACGTGTAAGAAAACTTCCAGTACGGGGAGACACATTAATAATCGTATTGTAATAACCGCAGCAAAGTGATTAAAATATGTCTGGAAACAAAGGGTGTTAATTAGAGGGACATCCCGTTTAAGGATCTGCGTTATTTTGTTTTCATTTTTGTTATTTCGTTGAACATATAAATATCACGTTTAACCGAACATCCCCAATGTAGGGAGTTGTGGCGGTGTCAATAAATTCGGGGAAAAAGAAATTGTTTGTTGAAATTCCGGATCTGTATGTGAATTATAATCACTGTTTAAAGAAAATGTGAACTTGCTGTTGTTATTTGGAAATGCATTCAAGATAAAGGTAGGTATGTTGGGAGATTAGGCCTACTTTTATCAGCTTTATGTTACGATCAGAATTTAAGGCAAGCAATCATAATGTAGATATAAACGCACATAGATTTATCAAATAATTACTGTTCGATTGCAATATATAAAGTAGCAGTGAGTTTAAATAGAATACGGAACAATAGACACTATTTCACTAAAGGTAGCTGACTTATTAACGAATAAAGTGTGATATTGTCTGCATTTGCGCAATTAACACACTGCTGATTTCTACAAATGGAATGCACATGCGCAGATGCTTGCCGTTTTGTACTCCAAAGACATGATAATAAATGTGTTTCGAATCTGCTTAATTTATGTGACATTTAGAAATCTAAATGGAATTAATGAATTCTATTCCTGCATTCGCACTAGCCATGAACGTGGTTAGTTTGTGTAACGACGATGATGATTTCTCTACGCTATACCTGTATCATCATAGCACCTGTTGTATTCTCGTTTCCGAGAGAATAACGTAGGCCTACTGTTTACATACGAAGAAGGCTTAATATTGTACCTCCTTATGCCTACATAGTGATATAAATTTACATAGATTATTGTCAATAGGATTAAAACGGTGACAAGATGAAATATAATAAACTGTATGGTTATATAACATAATTAGACTTATAGATTATAATATAGTTTTCGTATAACGACTTTTTTTACTTTAAAATACTTATTTCAGCAATCCGTGTTGTCGGTAAAATATCAAGAGTCGGGCTTGTTTAAAGGGTCTCAAAATACCTGAATAAAAATAACGTACAAGCTATAAAAACATTATCACCAACACACAATCATGACGTCATTAGGTGGCCTGCGAAAGAAACCAGGTAAAATATTTATTTATTTTTGGACTTGTAATATAACCCACCGATTTAAGTATTTATAGATTTAAGTATATATAATATATGTATATATATATATAGATGTGTATAAGAGACAGATAATGTTTATTCTAGATCGGTCCAAATTTAGGCCTCCTTTATCATTTTTAAATTTGTGTTTATAATACCAACAACTCTCTGCTACCAGCAAGATTAATTTCTTGTTGTTTCAGATGAGGTAACAGAAGAGCTTCCAGGCGCAGAGTCGGCACAGATGGTCAAGGAATTGAAGGAGTATGTTGAGAGTATACTGACGAAAATGAACGAGTTAACTTTATCAGAATCTGCAGCGATGGAAAGCAATTATCAACCCGCTCGTCTTGCAGGACACATTCAAGTACCACCGCAATATGTGCCGAATTACCCGTACCCAACACAGCCGCCACCAGCTTACAGCCCAACACCTCCGCCTGGAGATTTGCCTCAGGGAGCTTACGGCGGGCTTCAATATTCTCAGTACGGTTGCCAAGTTCCACCGTACCATGTAGGCAGTGTACCACCTCAACCACCACTTCAGACAACTAAGCATAATATGGAGGAAAAATCCAACTTATCAACTGAACCTGAAGTAATAAATCTAAATAGCGGACCTCAGGGCGTTGCGTTTGTGTCAGGCGACATGATTGCGGTTGCTGATGAAAGCAACCAATGCGTTAGAATAATGAGCACAAGTGGAGAGGTTAAAACGTCATTTGGATCTTACTCGCAAGGTAGTGAGTACTTCACTTCACCAACTGGTGTCTGCATCAACAACAGAGGCCATATAGTGGTGACAGATCATGTCAATAATTGTATTCATGTATGGGACAAGAATGGCCAGTTTCTGCGCAAGTTTGGCAGTAAAGGGCAAAAAGAAGACGAGCTGTACTATCCAGCAGGCGTGGCCTGCGATGCAGATGATAACATTTATGTATGTGACACGTGTAACCACTCAGTTAAAGTCTTCACATCCGATGGGCAGTTTATTCGTCGAATTGGTGAGCAAGGAAGTGGGGAAGGACAGTTTTGCTTCCCTTCCTACCTCGCCGTCAACGACGATAAGTTGGTTGTGTCCGACAGGGACAACCACTGTATCCAAATATTTACATTAAACGGTGAATTCTGCCATAGGTTCGGAAAACGCGGAAAAGGTCTCGGTCAGTTCAAATCTCCAAATGGTATTGCGGTTGATTCACAGGGCAGACTTATAGTGGCCGATAGTGACAACAACCGAATCCAGATTCTAGACATGAAAGGCTCATGCATTACGACATTTGGAAAGAAAGGTTCAAAAGAAGGGCAGCTCAAGTGGCCCGAAGATGTTGCTGTGTTGGCAGATGGAAGAATTCTCGTGAGCGAAGTCGACAACAAACGTTTACAGATATTTTCACATACAATAAGTTAAATATTTATAATATTTATGCTGTTTTTGATAGACGTTAATTAAATTCATTACCTTAGCACTTAACCCCACCACTGTTAGGGTCCCACAAACATACACCGTAAACGTACCTAAACATGTGTGTTTGTGGGACATGCGCGTATCACTGGCCCTGTTCTGATTGGTCAGCTGTTAAGTTTGATTAACACTCCAGAAGGGTTCATTGTACGAAATACATAAAATGCCTTGCAGACAGAAGGGAATTTTTGTTTGTCTGGGAATACTATGCTAGGACTTAGAGGTATCTGTTTTTGTTCTACGATGAAGTATTATTTACTGAAGTTGTAGACCTACAATGATGGTTACTATAGTGATTAAGAAATATTATATTTGTTATAAGCAGCATTCATTAAAATCATGCGCCCTAAATGCTACTCTTTGAATTATACATGCATAGAAGAAGCTATACAGTCAGGCTGTCTGTTCACTTTGAGACGGGAAGTCTCAATCGCAAATTGCTAATACATGTCTTAATATATCAAGAGAAATGTAAAGGATCACGCATATTTATCTGTTAATTAGGAGGTTACAAACAACCAGTGTAAAATCCGTATACAGGTACTCACTCTCAACGGTACCCACACAATTACTAATCCCTAGTCTTTACGACATACCGGTAATGTCAGTGAGCCCACGATCATCGTGTATTTTTCTAATTAATATGGAATATCTTTTAATATTCTGATTGGCTATGAAACAACGCGTAGTTCCAATTAACCTTGGTTTTAAACTAGGGTAAATTCGACGCGTTAATGTGAACGCAAGTAACATTAGTGTCATTGCTTGAGTTCACGTCCACACGCTATATTACTCTAGTGTGAACCAAGACTTGGATCTATCTCCACGCTCCTGCCAACAGTACGCGCGGCTATACATTACGTGAATTATGTGACTGCAGCACTATTAAGCATGCGACGTAGGCCTGTATGGAAATACTGTACGAGTATAAAGAAATGCACCCATGAACTGCGATTGCCTTATTCATTTAGTACCGTATCGTAAATAACCAGAGAAATCAACAAGATAGCGATTAAAAGAAAGGATTTTATTTTCCAAATATTCTGATATACTTAATAGCTATGTTACCATAGTAACTACCAACAATATTTACAATTCGTTTCCTTTTAATGTACTTTATTCTACATAACTCCAATTCGACAAGTTCTTTCTACTTTCAAACAATTTGTGAAGCCAATTACTGATATATCTTATCTGATCTGACTAATCTTTTGAATAAATTTATATTTACTAAGCATAATGTGTATTCGGATTTCTATTGGTTTATTACATAATAAGACCTGAAATTTAGACAGGATTGAGGATGGTAAATCGATAATTTTTCTAAGTTAAAACTTGTCGCATTGCAGTTTATATTATTAATGGTCATGTGTAAAATATTGATGAAAACCTACCTCTGACAATATTTGAAAGTCATATAAATGGCGCATCGCATCCATTATGTAACATTGTGAAATAAATAATGTATTCAAACGTGAATGATCAAAATATAGAAGCCATTAAACAACTTGACCTGATAATCTGACACTCAAGAGAACATACCTGAAAATTGACAACGAAATGCTATATTGGAACAAATGTATAAATCCGAGTTGTAATAACTATACGGACGAGTCGTAATAATTATACGGTACGATGGAAAACGTATAGAAAGTTTTGCGCCAAGAGAGCTTACAGATAGTACGCTCCATTTCAGCAGATCATTCCAGTCTTGGCCAGGTTAACTTAAACTGGATCACGTAGATGTGCGTTCAGTGTAATGCTCAACTGGTCACAATTTACTCACGTTAAACATTATTACGGGCTTTTTTTTCCTGCGTGCTTCACACATTGCATTCACATAGGTTTTGTCCCACTTCACATTCGTTGTATATTCCGGGAGGGACTTGTGTGTTTGTTTCTGATATGTCTTCATTTCTACACACAGTTATCCATATTAATTTTTCTTCATATAATAAAACAACATGTCTACAGAGATATCGGACCTCAAACATTATGGAAAGCCGTTGTATCGTGTGTTAAAAACCCAAGTGACATCACATAATGCTCAAATGCGCTTTCGGGTTTTAATCGGCATCAATCTAGATGTGTAGTTTTTCTTACTTGTAAACGCGTAGATAATTCACAAACAATATTCATAAGTTTAATAATTCCATCGTACCGTATTAGTAAAACATGGTAAACATTATCTGTAAAATGAACGCATAATGTAAGTATGACACGCACTACTATGACGCGCAATTTTCGTAATAATAATGAATACGGGAAACGCGTCTGCTTTTTAGTACGGTATCACCATAATCTCTGAGGTTAGCGGACGCTTGTAACCCGGATGCTAACAAGAACCTGACAATAATACCCAAACAAGACTTTAAAGCTCAATACTTTTGGAGCGTCCACACCAAATTCTCATTGCAACAGAATGTATAGATAAATTGCACAAAATGTTGAAACCTTAGTTGATACTCGAATGATGCAAAAATCATAATAATAGGTCTACACCAAATTTATGTTAGAATCTCAAGCCTATGTGACGTTAATATCTGGTGACCAATTTCAATGAATAACAATGTGAAAATGGTTGCCAAATAAAAAACTCATAACTAATTGTATATAAATTTAAAATAAGCACTTATTTATAACCGCGTTAATACACATGTCACAAATGTAGCTTTGGATAGTACATAATAAAACTAATAAACAAACGGATCAAGATACTCTATCGTTCATTTCTGAGTTTCCCATTAATTTAATTAAAGTCAGTCATAAGGAAGTAATGATATATATAATATATATATATATATTTATAATATATATATCTTATAATATTTACAAAATCACCCCCTTAATAACAATAGGATGTGGAATATCTAGGCCCTATACTGATAAGTCTATTCATTTTGCATAGAATAATACGCATACAGATGCATCTACATTATTCAGCCAAAGGTGATTATTAAGATATACTAACATCAACATAGGAGTGTATTATTTTTTGTCGAGGGTGGGGTTAAGAAGCTTATTCGAAAATAATAGTATATTCACGCACGCACAATCACAACCACCACCTCGCAGTACCGGTTGCCGAGTGGAGGTAGGCCTATACCAGAAACATTTACACCAAATTCGAAACAACCACTAGCCTCGGCCAACAACTATACAAATGTGGTGCTACTAAAAAAAAAGTCTTCCCGAGTACGTATATAATTTTTAAAACCTAGTATTAAAACCATTATTTGCCCTTTTTTAAATTTTTAATGTTATTACTTTTTTGGGAAAGTGTGAGGCTTCATCATATTTCAAATATATTCGTCACAAATTGACCATAAATAGTCAAGTCTTAACGTTTTCTAGTATTTTTTATCACGAATAATCAAGTATAGCGGATTGCACATTTTAAAGTCAAACACGTTAAATATTTAATAATTTAAAAGAAATAATGTGTTATATATAGTTTCTTTGCTTAAAGAACAAAGTCCTGTGTTGCATACTCCTTTGGCAAATAGTGAGTTGAAATGCATCTTGGGACGGTAGGTTTAGGTGTTTTTTCTTATTTAAAAGTATACATAAAGCTAAAAAAAAAATTAGGCTTATTTAGATAATCACTGTTTGACATTATTTTTTGTAACAACACAAATATACAAATTTATCTAGCGAAGGTTCCAGCGATATATACTTTTTTACATATGCTATGACCATGAATTTGTGCATTCAACGCAATCAACAATACGATGTAGGCCTAGTTAATCTCAGTAGTCAGTTTTATCTATATTTTTAAGCAATAAATAATTGTTATTGATTGACCGTCAATAAGCAGATTGTGGTTTTAAGAATTCCTTCGCACATTTCATACGTGAAATCTACACATTAGAAACACCCTAGGTACCACTGGGTACAGGCCTACATTCATACCATGTTATTGGGGACCTAGGGATATGAAAATTAAGGCCACTTATGCTCAAACATATCTTAGAAACATTCTGGACAAAGTGTAAAACTTATATACATAACATTTGTTTGGCTTTGAAATGTTTAAATCGGCGTTTGTTCGAGTAATTGAAATATATTTGCATATCAACGTAATGTTAGTCTCGGCGATCTGTCTCTTGCAACTTATCATTCAGAATCGCGACTCCGCCAACAGGCATACCGAGAGCTCCGTTACTCCTTGTATTATTCTGGTTATTCTGTGAATCATACAATTTCTTTTGCATAACTGCTAACGACACTTTATTATGTGCAAGAAAATCTTTGAGCGAGATCATTTCGCCCGAATTACGGCGACCGTCACCGCCATGGTTTACCTCTGTATCACTGTCGTAGTTAGAATCAACATCTTGGACTTCGACTTTTTTCGGAATCTTCTTGCTTCCCGCACTCCCCGTCCTTTGGACGGGTTGACGCATATGGCCGGGGGTGATTGCGTTTCGTCGCGGTCGTGGTCTCGGCTTCTGGCAGCATCGACATTCTAACTTTTTCAAAACAAAATTTAGGAATTGTTTGATAACTATTGACCCAACATTATACATTGAATATATACAACATACACCCGCTACGAGAAACCAAAAGTTTCCAAATCTGTATAATGCTGTTCTATCATAGTCAGTTTTTTGACTTGTTACGTAGTCCCCGAATCCAATTGTGCTGAACGCAACGAAACAGAAATAGAAACTTTCAAAATAATCCCATTCTTCAACATAACTATACATCGCGGAGGCGCACAATGCTATGATAGTTGCTGCTATTCCCAACAGTACCATTACTCGATAAACCGACGGCTTCCATCTCTCTAGTTCCTCGTCGATTTCTGCTACAATTCTCTGATCAACCGGACCGTTTCCTACCAACGCTCTCCTCTTTACATTCCGCCGGTGCCATTCTTTGAGTACATATGCAACGAACGTTATCAGCCTTTCCAAGAATAGATTGAAAAACAAAATGGTTGCTGCACATCCGGGCACTCCGTACAATATCAAAAAGACTTTTCCTTCATTTGTTGATGGTGAGGTCATCCCGAAACCTGAAAAATAAAAGATATATTTTGAGTTGAAATCTAATTAACATTTCTTAATTCACAAAATGTAGAAGTGGAGGTTGGTGGTTAAGGTTTGCATTCTAATCTTATCATATCCCAACGCACTGTAACATGTTGTGTGACGAATAAAATGTGATAGGCCTATGCCCATATTTGGGTTTTATATGACATCACCGTGCCCATATACGGCACATCACACAAATTTGTCACATATATTTTGATAGTGTAGACATAACATTAAGTTTCATAGTGTAGTGTTTGGAAGTCCTGGGTTCAACTTTTGTCTAATCAGTTAATCTTTTCTTGCGACTAAAACCACAGTGGCTGATCCAGGAATCCAAAATAGAGGGGCCCAGGAAGAGACCTTTACAGGTGGAGTGTCTAGACTCAGCACCATCGTGGTTGAAGGTGAAATGTTATGACTGTGGCTCCTCCAGATGGCCCGAAATGACATCAAGTTGACTCGAAATCAGACTTTGAATATAATTTCCTTTATTTTCAAAAATCGAGAGCTAGTTAGTAGGATATAATAATAATAATAATAATGTCATTTTGTTAGGCGCGGATATATCGAAACAATGGTTTAAGACACGCCTACAAAAACTATAAAGAAAACCAAAATGTGACGATGATGATGATGATGAGGATGATGATAATATAAATATAAACCCCCACCGCAGCAGATAACAATCCGCCACATACAGCAGGGTTAGACAAACCAAGCCCACACAGAGGTTTGAAAAGATAATGACAAATCTGACCTGAACTCCTTTGATAGAATTCGACAGAAAGTAGGCAAATCACAGTATTAAACACAACTAAATCAGAATGGGCTTGCGCATAAATGTGATAAAATGTACTTAGCCTACTAATATATTCATTTTGTTAAAACATATATGTTACTAAAATGCACATAGGAAACCTATTCTTATTTGCTAAACTGCGAAACTTAAACCCGGAGGATAATGTCTGAAATTAAAGCACAGTCAAATAACGAGTCATTAAAGTATCTTCGGGACATGAAAGAAAAAGGATAGATGGTGTGGTGTTGAATGATGTAGTGCTAAAGTAAAGGCTCTCAAAATGCGCGATTGTTGTAAGTCAGTGGCGTATTAAAGGGGGCTGAGAAAAAAGGAAAATATTAATAAAGTTTAGGCCTTAAGAGTGCCATTTCCGGCTATCTAGAGGTGCCATAATCGTAACTTTTATTACCTCAGCCTCAACCATGGTGGAAAGTTCCTCCAACTAAGGACCCCTCTTTTTCCTGGATCCGCCACTGGGAGTATAGAAATCTAAATTAGGTTCAACGATTTTGGCACATAAAGCTTACATTGTGGATTAAGCAGATAAATTGATAAATTTGAAAAAATGTAGATTTCCATATTTTATGGAGATCATCGATGCGCAAGACCTTCCGGGTTAAACTTAACAACCGACTAATCAGATTCACAGGGTCCCAAGAATACGCGCATGTTTCACAAATACGTGGAAATATTCTACGTATCACGTCCGTTGTCATTTGCTGGTTTACAAACAGTATCCAAGCGGTGGGCTGAGTGAAGTGGTCCATGAAACGACGCTGTTATTTTCAAGGCTAAATGAGTTAGCCGTACAGAATATCGTTCGTTTGGAGTTAAAATAACTCGTTGAAAATCAGTGTGTAGGAAAGAACATATTCTAATAGGCATCTTTCAACATAGACCTATTATCATATAAATCTACAACCATTATAACTAAAAGACAGTAAATTTATCGTTTATGCATTATTCACTGCTGAATAACTGGTAAAAACAACTTTTACTTCAAATCAGAATTCGGGTCTACACAACTCCCCGATACATAAGAGCCTTGAGGTGACTTGTAGGATGAGGAATGGATATATTTGAACAGAACCATAGAGAAATAAGTATTCAAAACCCTACTGAGATCTGAAACACATGACGACTAAGCCCAGATGTTGAACACTGATTTACTGATGTATATTCGTCGTTTGAACGGCCTAATTTCTTTCTCGATGCAAGTGTATCCTTTATCCTTGCCCATGTTTGCAATTACAATAATTTTTACTCTATCTTTAACGTCAAATATATAGCCGCCTCATTACATAATCATTTCATGTAGAATAAAGCTTTTAAAATAGACCGCCAATCATCGCTGTTTACTCACTACCGATGTGCTATTTTAGTCTCCAAATTGAGAAACTTAATGAGGTCACGTGTGGCTTTTAAATAATAAACTAAATGGTATTAATTCGTTTTCCCGTTACTGAATTTACTGTTCCTGAATATATTGAGATATATGTGAGTGATTTATGAATTTGATAATAAGAAAACATAGAGGGGAATAGCCGACGCAACGTGATAATCCACGTGTGCTTTAAGAAACTAAGTATAGTTTTATGAGATACTTTAAATAAACATGACGTCTTTGATAAATAATCATAACAACAGTTGTACCATAGTCACAAGTACTGTAGTAAGATTGCTTTTACAGATCTTGTCGAAGTCATGTGTTATAGTCATAGGGCATCGTTTTTTGCAGTTTCATGCCATAGTAGCCTACTATTACTACCTCTTTGATGAAACGAATTCACCTTTCATAATTATTAGAAAATAGTTCATATTAGCATCTCACAACACCTATTCACAACATTATATTCATATATTCAGACAAAGGGATATGGAATATTATACATAACGGGCAACAATGAATCATTTGCGTGTTTAGGGGTTTACTGGGGAAATGATGGGGGCGCGGAGGTTAAGTAGGGGCTCGTTGATTAATTTAGGGGTGATAAGATGTGAATTTTAACACTTGAGCGTAATTTTTACTCACCAAAATTTAAGTGAGGGAGGGGGATTGAGAGGCAATCTTTTTTGAGGGCTCCCCGACGCTTCCCTGAATAATATAAATGGATTATACATGGAATTAAATTCAACTAACCACGTAAGAATTAAGTACGAATAATCATCAGAAAACTCGATTAGTAAAATCATTTGCCGTGTATAACTTCTAATTATTATAATTCATGCACTTATAAAGTCATTTATATCATTACCGATCACGAATTATGATTTAAAAAAAAAACAGTAACCTTAACAGTTCAATGAATGTTTACTGATTTTTAATAATTTCCAATGCAGCTATTTTGAGATATGCGTATTATTTAAAATAGGCCTATACATATTAATAATGCATAAACAGTAATAAAATATACGTTTTTAAAAATAAAACATTTTAGTAATCGTCATCATTAACATAATCACACTGCACATGCGCAAAGCGGCCACTAGCGAGAAAGTAGTTAATTCGTTTGAACTAGGTTGTAAGTGTCATTCACTGGTGAATTCAAAGAAAAGAAACACATAGAAGAGAGTTGACGCGTTCTAATGTGATTGTATTAAATGTATTTCATGTTTTAGATTCAATTACGTGCTTAGCGATTCGTGGACTACACTTGAGTACTCGGGTAAAGAATATCACACTAGAACATCGTCGTAACCTTTCATTGGACCTCGCGTTTATAGTCACGTGACGAAATTATTTTCCTTCACTGATTTTTTTTTTAGAAGACAAGTCTCTTCTGTTACTTCTCATTATTTTAGTTAATAAACAAACATATGAAATAAAGAAAAATATAGCAGAAGAATATGGTCATGATTTTATTTATTTTATTAATATAAATATAAATTATTTGTATTATTATCCTCATCATTAGGGTCTATTATTATTCATATTGTTATTCCTACTGTCTATATACTCATTCGTTTTATTACTATAACCATTGATAAGAATAGTAATAAATATTATTATTATTATTATTATTATTATTATTATTATTATTATTATTATTATTATTATTGTCATTAATATTAATATTGTCAAATCAATAATAGTACAATCCGTGAATCAATGTCAAAATAACATCGTGTATACAACTGTTGTTTCATCTATTGGGAATTGCATTATGACTCTTGTTTGCTATGTCCTTGTAGATTTATTTCAGGCAATTAGTTATTCAAACGCATGCAACATTTAAATGAGGTAAAAAACCGTCTAAGGTCGTATTGATTGCGCACGCGTATTCGATTTAAAATAAGCTCGTCTTAAACGTATTCGTAACCGGCTCTATATAAATATGTTTATTATTATTATTATTATTATTATTATTATTATTATTATTATTATTATGACAATGACAACGACGACGATGATGATGATTACAATGATGATGGCAATGAAGACGATGATGTTGGCGATGATAATGACGAAGATAATGATGATGATGATTATGATGAAAGTTAAAGTGCAGGGACTCTGCTCAATAAATCTATACAGATATTAATCAATGTACTGGTCAACATTTAGATATTTAACAGTAGAGAAGTTAAGCCGTTGGTCTTGTGTACAAAATGTTCTTTGTATATCGGTGACTTCACCATTGTATGGCTTAACGGACCTTTAAGATCCCACAACTACCGCGTAAACGTACGTAAACACATGCGTTTATGGGACAGGCGCGTATTTCTGACCCTATTCTGATTGGTCAGCTATTAAGTTTGATTGACAGGTGTGGTACTACATGGTCCCTCCCACATGTTCACATGGGCTCAATCCCAAAAAATTTGGTTTTGTTAGTAAAGATTTCTTAACCCTATTAGCTGACCGCCGTAAACTTGTTGGTTTAATTTTTCTTTTTAAATGTATGAATGCAATCTACGATGGAAATTTTGCAGTTCATTTTCCTCTTTCTGTACCACCATATCAATTACGTAATCCTGTTCTTTTTTTAATACTGGGGGGGGGGGGAGAGTCAACGTTACTAATAATGGGGTTATCAATCGTCTGCACTAAGTTATACAATTCTTTATGTAAAACTGATTTTTCTATTGACATTTTCTGTGATTCTCTTATGTGTTTTTGTCAAAAGGTTTTGTCCAATGTTAGTAATATTTAGTTCCTCATAACTTTTCATAACTTTTTAT